TTCTTTCCATTTCTGAGAGAAATGTCATTGGAATTTTGATGGGGATTGCATTGAATTTATATATCACTTTGGGCAGTATGGAAATTTTCACTATGTTGATTCTTCCAATCCAAGAACATGGGATATCAAATTGATGTTTTTTAAAAATATTTTTAAAAATTTATTGTTTGGAAGTCATTTGGATGTGGAGGTTTTGCAGGGGGAAAATTTTAATTATGTATTCAATTTCTTTAATTGATATAATACTGTTCAGATTTTCTATATCTTTTTATATCCATTTTGGTAAATTGTGCTTTTGTATTTTATCTAAATTTTTAAATTAGAGTATACAGTTCATAATATTTTTATATGACCTTTTAATGGTCTATAAGATCTGTAACGATGTCCCTTTTTACATAATGATAACTTGTTTGTGTGCCTTTCCTTATTTTTTTTTGTAAGTTTGGCAAGGATTTATGATTGCTTAGTTTTTTCAAAGAAGCAACAATTTCCCTTGTTGATCCTCTCTGTTGTACATTTGTCTTTTTTTTCACTAACCTCTGATGTTAAGTTTTCTGTTTCCTTCCTTCTACTTTCCTTGGATTTATTTTGTTGATCTATGTCTAACATACTTTGGTGGATATTCAGACCATGTATTTGAAGTTTTCTTTTTCTAATATTTAAATTTAGAGCTATAAATTTTCCTCTAAGCATGGTGTTAGCTTTGTCACACAAGTATGTTTTCTCTTCAAGATATTTTATGATTTCCATGATTTTTCTTTGATTCTTGGTTTTAGAGATTTATTGCTTTATTTTCAAACATGGAAATTTTACATATAAGCTTTTGTTGTTGACTTCTAGCTTAATTCCACTTTTGTCAGAGAATATACTTGGTATGATTTCATTGCTTTGACATGTATTAGAAACTGCCTTATAGACTGAGTACGGTTAATTTTTTATAAATGTCACATGTGTACTTGAAAAGAATGTATTTTCTGTTTTTCATTGTTCAGTACAAGTTTTTAATATAAGACAGGTAGAGTTCATTAATACTGTTGTTCAAATCTTCTATATCCTTAAAAGATTTTTTTGTTCTGCTTGCTTTATCAACTACTTGGTATGCAAAAATATTGCACTGTGATTGTGGATTGTCTCTCTCCATACAGTTTTTTTTGTTTTGTTTTGTTTTTTATTAATATTATTATTTTTTTTTACATTCTATGATGTTGTTGTGGAGCAGTTGGGAGGGAGGGGGACAGGGGAAAGGGGAAGGAAATGGGATAGAAAGAGGAAGGAGGAGGGGTGGGATTGAGGCCTGTGGCACCCCCCTCATTCCCACAGGGGAGACCAGGGGGTAGCTTGGTCATTGCCGGGCTGGGTGCAGATGTCAGGGGGGTGACAAAAGCCTTTGCCCCCCCATCACCCCAGCTTGGGAACCCAGGGCCCTTCTTGCTGCAGCTTGGTGGTTGTTGCAGGGCTGGTTGTGCATGTTGGGGGGTCGTGGCTGAGGCCCTTAGCCCCCCACTGGCCTGGCTCAGGAGAGCACGGGGTACTTCCTGCTGCAGCTTGGTGGTTGTTGCTGGGTGGTTGCACGAGTTGGGGATGTGTGGCTGAGGCCTTCAGCCCCCACCCTTGGGACTGGTTGTGGGTGTTGGGGGACATGGCTGAGGCCCCTGGCTCTACCCCCTTTCTGGCTTGGTAGCCCAGCGGACTTCTGGTCCTTTAGGTGTTATAGGTGTTTTTTGGTGAAATGAGACCTTTACTAGTTAATATCAAACTTTGTCTCTTATTGTGGCTGCTTTGTTTTTACTTTCAGTTCTGCGTTGGATTATTTGCCATTCCCACCACTTAAACTCTGCACTGGAACTAATTTGTTGTCCTTTGCTTACTTCTAAAATGGAGGACCTTCCTGTGGGGGTCAGCACTTGAGCTCTGTGGTTGAGCTAAATTGCTGCTTTGCTGCTGATTCCCCAGTGAAGGCTTTTTGTGCAGCTCAGGTTTTAATGGTTGACTTTATAGGTTGATAGAGTTTGGATGTGTCATCCCCCCAAAACTCATGTGGAAATCTGATCCCCGATGTGGCAGTGCTGGAAGCTGTTTGAGTCATGGGGGCAGATCCCTCATGAATGGATTAATGCTCTCCCTAGGTGGGGAGGGTTAGTGAGTGAGTTCCCGCTCTGTAAGTTCCTGCGAGAGCTGATTGTTTCAAAGACCCTTGCACCTCCTGTCTCTCTCTTGCTTCCTCTTGCCATGTGATCTGCCTGTACCCGCCTGCTGCCTGCCACTTTCTGCCATGAGTAGAAGCAGCCTGAGGCCCATGCCAGATGCAGCTGTCCCAGAGTCATAAGCCAAATAAACCTCTGTTCTTTATAAATTACCCAGTCTCAGGTATTTCTGTTATAGCAAGACAAAACAGACTAGTACATAGGTACCTGTGGGTCTAGTGAGATCCAGTGCACCTGGGTTTTATAGAAATTCCAGTCTGGGCCTGAGTCTTTTCATCAGACTGCACCCCATGCAATTCTATATTCCTGACCAGTCTCCTCTGAGTGGTCTTATGCTAATTGGGGGGCAGATCAGCTATCTTTGCTGTGCCCCAGTGTTCCCCTGGTGGGTCTGCCCCACCGCGCATGCTCCAAACACTTCCCATGGGGCAGGCCATAAGCCAGTCCCTTGCAAAGGAGCCTCTGAGTCGCTCCTTTTTTTCAGTTGTTGCAGCTCTTCACTCCTATGTGGATCCATGGGAACCCTATTAGTGGCGTGGCTGGCCTGGGGGCCACCAAGGTCCTCCCCCCCACACCTCCAAGCAGCTTCATCCGAAGGGCACAGCTGTGGCTTTTGCCAGCTCCTGCTCCATGTGCTCAGCAGCTGCAGCCTAGAAGTGGCCAGGATTCAAAACGGTTGGAGTGGTTTTTTTCTTTCTTTCATTGTGGTTTCTCCCACATTCATGCATTATGTTGGTCTCTCCTCCTC